CTATCTAACGTTCGACTACGCACATAGACGAACCCACTAGCTCATAATTCCATACAATATCATGCACACAAGTACAACATCAATAACATCATCAATATCATGTAATTTATCAATTAAGCATAATTATCACAATTACCAAACTGATCTCATAATCCACTTCTTCATCTCTAGGCTCATAACCTATCCTAGGCTAAGGCCAACTACTTTATTCTAGAGTCCTGATTCAACCACATCCATGGAAGAACCCGCTCGATACGACGTCATCCAACGTCGGCTGGGTGGGACCACCTACTCACATCCATGAGCAGATCTACGACCCTCGTGCGCACGCTCTACCTAACTGATCATGCGTGCACGCCGGCTCATCACATGACCAGTTATTCCTAACTGTATTCCTTATTCTGTTTCCTCGGTCTACCTATAGTTCAGCTAGGTAGCCTATCCGTATTCAAATTCATAATCCCATATTTCCAAATTCATACAAGAATACAATATGTTAAATAACATTTATAGTCAACAAATAGCGGCCTAGTGTCGGGTGTAAACACCTTTCACTTACCGTCATGCAACACGTAAGGTTTCAGAGTCAATTCGGGTTCAAAATTAGGTCAAACAATCAGATAACGGAAACTGCAACTGTCAGGACGGTACCTGTCACGGTACCTTGGTACCGTCGGTACGGTACCGTCCTACCGTCGGGCTTCAGATACCGATAAGCGTTTTGGCATGAGGCGGTAGCTGGGTACCGTTAGGCGATACAAGGCTACCATCTCGCGTCGGGAATCTCCTAAAACAACTCAGTTCGATCCAATTCCAAATCATTCATTACGTATTATGTTTTTAGAGATTATTATCATGCAAATCACACCAATTGAAAGTAAGAAAACATACCTGGTCATCCTCGTTCCACCAATTCCAACAATAACATATAATATAATTAAATCATAATTTAATCATAAACAAATAAACCACGTAATCAATCATACGAAACTACGAACGTGAATTTCAAGTCTATATACATAATCTAGCGTTAGATGGGCAAGTTCTGACCTCAATTAATTGACGAATTAGACAAACCAAATTTCCAAAGAAGATGTCGGCCAACTCGGCAGTAGAGCAGCGCGGCTACCCAGCGGACGGCGGCGATTCATGCGTTGCAGCGGCTGACCCGCTGGAGCAGCGGCGGCAGTTCCCCTCTCTCGCAGCCCTGTTCTGCGTTCTTTCTTTTCGTTCTGGTCTGGCGTGGGTTTGTGTTGCGTGTATATATAATATAGGGGAGGGGAGGGTTTTGGTTTCATATCGTCGGTAGGAGTAGGTTTAGTAATAATAATATTATATTATAAAATCTTTATATTTCTTTATTGAACTGTAATGTCTATTTTACTCACCATGCTTTACACGTAAATCCAAATTAAACAAACTATATACTGTTGGTTACCATTTTATGGGATCTACCCATAAACCCAATTTTCATTTAAAACGGATAACTTTACAAATAATTCATATTTTAGAGTAAATAAATTTAATACTACCTCCGTCCCACTCTATTTGTCCAGTTTTGACTATTGGAACTGTTCATCTAAGCACTTTGACTAATCAAATTCTCTCAATGTGTAAGTCTAAAAATAGTCATGTGTGATCTTGTTTGATTTGTCTTAACATATAGATTATTAATATATAATTTTTATAATTTATTAATATATAAATTATAAGATAAAATAAATTAAAGAAGTGCATTGGATGGTGTGCAAAAATGAAAGTGGACAAAAAGAGTGGGACGGAGGGAGTATTTATTTTCTTTTAAAATTACGGCTAACTACTAAGCCGGTTTTTGGGTCGTCACATTTCTCTCCCCCTTAAAAGAATTTCGTCCCCGAAATTCCTTAGTCTAGCGTCCACTCAAACACGTGCACATACAGTTCACACAGATAAGCACATAGGGAACAAATATCATTTAACTAATCGTTATCAAGATAAGTTTCGAAGTGTACCATCGTGAGCGTCGTTATCCTGGGGGTTTGCATAATCTATCATCGCATAGGTGCGTGCTGGAGCTCTTCCTAGTTGCTGATTTTGGTTCCTTTGTTGATTGGTTCCTGCAGTCGTACGTTGACTTTGTGTCGGTTGTGGTGCGGTTGTTTGACTGCGAGTTGGTGCTTGCACTGGGGCATTGCTTGGGTTAGTGGGATAGTTCCTTTGAAAGTGACCTGCCTGCCCACATCCCAAACATAATCCTAGATCGAACCAACACTCACCGGGATGTGTCCTTCCACAGGTAGCACAAGGCGGAAACCTAGACGTCTTTGACTTTCCACTAGACGCCACCGATTGGGCTGGCGCTGTTTGGGTTACCACTGTCTTACCTTTCTTTGCTTGAGAGGAATTACTAACTTCAACTGCGGGCCTTTTTGCACTTGGTGCGGCACTCGCGGTGGGGCGGGTACTCGGCCCTGCTTCTTCTGCTTTCAGACTGGCTTTGTAGTCGTCCACGTCTTTCTCAGCTTTGGCCATCAAATCGTATGCTTGAGAAAAATCTGTAGTAGTCAGGATGGACACGTATGGCCGAATGTCGGGACGCAGCCTCTTGCGAAATTCTTCAATACGATCTGCCGGCGTGGATACCAGTGTAGTCGCAAACTGAGCTAGGTGATCGAATTTTTGTCGAAGCTCGGGGAGAGTCATGTCTCCTTGCTTCAGCTCCATGAACTCCGTGCGTTTCTCCTCTCTGAAGCGAGCTGGTATGTACTCCTTCTTGAATGCCCAATCAAAATGCTCCCATGTCCAAGGCTTAGGCGCTTTCTCATCCGCGCGCTTCCACCACTCGTATGCTCCCTTACGAAGGAGCTGGAAAGAAAGTTCAAGACGTCTCGCGTCTGGAACACTCAGATTCTTCAACACTCTCTCTGTCTGTTCAATCCAGTCTAGTGCAATCTGGGGATCAGAGATCCTATCCCCATGGAACTCTTCAGAACCATTGTCCTTCAGCGTTTTCAACGTGATTTGCCTGGGAGGCGGTGGCTGGAACATTGGCGCGTTCGCCATTTGCTGCAGAACTTGCGTCAAGAACGCAGGCATAATCGGGTCCTGCTGAGCCTCCACATTTTGTTCCATGTCCTGGGTCTCGTTTTGGTTGTTCGAAGCTTTTCTCATTCTATATAGATTAACTTTTCTAATTAAACGCTAACTCATAAAAAACAAATAGTCAACTTTAATTACCTTCCTGAGACAGAGGAGTTGCGAGAGATGCGGATGCTGCTGCTGAAGTACCTTGTAACCAAATCAACACACTTTTTTTTTAAACATTTTTTTTGAAATTCTTCTTTTGAAAGGGTCCGAAGACCGATTTTAAAACCACTTGCTCTGATACCAAAATGTAACACCCCAACCCGCGTGACCCGAATACATGGACCAGCGGATCGGGTTGCTACTAAATTGGCATTCAAACATAATAATTTTCAAAACAATTTAAAACATTTAATTCAAAACAATATTTAAATATTCATCAGAGTAAATCAAAACGGTGCGGAAGCCTTTAAGTACTTAATCAAAATACAACTTTGGGTTCTTGCCCCTAAAAACATAATTAATTCAAACTTAAAAATTAAGTAGTAAACTCCTCCAGCTAGCATCCATCCATCTCTTCACCCTTGCTTCCTCCAAGCTTGTCTCATTATTCATCGTTCCTGTTACCTACGTGTAGCAAATAGGAAAAAAGGGCTACACACTCAGCATTGAAGCTGAGTGGAATCTATCTAACGTTCGACTACGCACATAGACGAACCCACTAGCTCATAATTCCATACAATATCATGCACACAAGTACAACATCAATAACATCATCAATATCATGTAATTTATCAATTAAGCATAATTATCACAATTACCAAACTGATCTCATAATCCACTTCTTCATCTCTAGGCTCATAACCTATCCTAGGCTAAGGCCAACTACTTTATCCCGTGCGCATGCTCTACCCAACTGATCATGCGTGCACGCCGGCTCATCACATGACTAGTTATTCCTAACTGTATTCCTTATGCTGTTTCCTCGGTCTACCTATAGTTCAGCTAGGTAGCCTATCCGTATTCAAATTCATAATCCCATATTTCCAAATTCATACAAGAATACAATATGTTAAATAACATTTATAGTCAACAAATAGCGGCCTAGTGTCGGGTGTAAACACCTTTCACTTACCGTCATGCAACACGTAAGGTTTCAGAGTCAATTCGGGTTCCAAATTAGGTCAAACAATCAGATAATGGAAACTGCAACTGTCAGGGCGGTACCTGTCACGGTACCTTGGTACCGTCGGTACGGTACCGTCCTACCGTCGGGCTTCAGATACCGATAAGCGTTTTGGCTTGAGGCGGTAGCTGGGTACCGTTAGGCGGTACAAGGCTACCGTCTGGCGTCGGGAATCTCCTAAAACAACTCAGTTCGATCCAATTCCAAATCATTCATTATGTATTATGTTTTTAGAGATTATTATCATGCAAATCACACCAATTGAAAGTAAGAAAACATACCTGGTCATCCTCGTTCCACCAATTCCAACAATAACATATAATATAATTAAATCATAATTTAATCATAAACAAATAAACCACGTAATCAATCATACGAAACTACGAACGTGAATTTCAAGTCTATATACATAATCTAGCGTTAGATGTGCAAGTTCTGACCTCATTTAATTGACGAATTAAACAAATCAAATTTCCAAAGAAGATGTCGGCCAACTCGGCAGTTGAGCAGCGCGGCTACCCAGCGGACGGCGGCGATTCACGCGTTGCAGCGGCTGACCCGGTGGAGCAGCGGCGGCAGTTCCCCTCTCTCGCAGCCCTGTTTCGCGTTCTTTCTTTTCGTTCTGGTCTGGCGTGGGTTTGTGTTGCGTGTATATATAATGGACCATGCTACACTTACACCAAAAAATATACCCCATTTGTACACCACAGGTTTGCACAAACATTTCGATGGTTTACACCGACACAAGTGTTGGTGCGTTAATAAAAATTCACACGGACACAAATGTTGGTGCGTTTAACAAAAATTAGTTTTACACCAACACAAAGTGTTGGTGCAAAACTGCGGGGTACAAATTGGGGTACAAACCTTGGGGTACACATAGCATAATCCATATATACTATATAGGGGAGGGGAGGGTTTTGGTTTCATATCGTGGGTAGGAGTAGGTTTAGTAATAATAATATTATATTATAAAATCTTTATATTTCTTTATTGAACTGTAATGTCTATTTTACTCACCATGCTTTACACGTAAATCCAAATTAAACAAGCTATATATCGTTGGTTACCATTTTACGGGATCTAACCATAAACCCAATTTTCATTTAAAACGGATAACTTTACAAATAATTCATATTTTAGAGTAAATAAATTTAATATTTATTTTCTTTTAAAATTACGGCTAACTACTAAGTCGGTTTTTTGGTCGTCACTCTGTTTACCCAATTAGGTAATTTACACCATCAATTGTGATAAATAAAAGTGTTTGAAAGGTTTTAAATTTTACGACTACCAAGTTTATACTTTAGTCTGAAAGGAGCTGCAAACCTAGACAAGTTAGGGTGTTACACGTTGCATCATTTTCTTTCCAAACTCGCAGATCTTAACCATGTTTATACAGTTCTCTCGGGTAATCTTCATTTACTGCGTCTTCTTAGTTCTTAACCTTAGTAATTCATCTTATACCCAATCTAGAGTAATTTGCCGTAGTTTGCTGTTAGAATATGTTCTAGGAGTTGATAGTTTTCTATTTTTATAAAGTTCTTGTTTTATCCTTGGTTTTTGCTTCTCGGTGTTGGTTTTTGGTGTCCAAACCAACCAAGTATTTTAAACTTTTTATGATTGGTTTTTACTTCTAGCCATATTAAAATGGTTTCCCAATAATAACTTTCTAAAAATCACCTTTAATTTTTGGTCTTTGGTCCAAAACCATAAAAACCATCTTTAACTTGGTAATCTGTGGTTTTCACTTAGCTTTAACGACATGGTATTTAAGTTTTTTCACTTGGTTTTTGCATCAAATATATCTGTTAGTCGGTTTATTCGTTATGCCCACGCCTTAGAGGGGGGGTGAATAAGGCGTTTGAAAATATTTTCGGAGTTTGATAAAAACGGTGTTGGCAAATGCGGAAGCAATAAGTAAAACGCAAAAATAAAAGCGTAAAGTAAATGCACACCGATTTTATACTAGTTCGGGAACTCCCTACTCCAGTACCTTAAGGCTCCTCCTTAAGGATTTCCGAATCCACTAAGTCCCGGTCTCTTGAACTCCGTCAAAGCACCGCACTAGTTTGGCAAACAACCCTTGCCAATAGGATTCACTCCGAGATTTTACAACGGCTATCTCGTACCGTTCCCCCAAGGATTTCCAAGGCTATCCTTGAACCTTTACCCAAGGATTTATACGGCTATCCTTAACCGTTACAACGTGAGAATTTAACGGCTATTCTCGACCGTAAGAAGGTGTGTTTGAAAAACACGAACAAGGGTTCTACACAACGGCTTGAATATAAAAATGAAGAACAAAACTTAGCAGGTGTAGAAGACAAGTATACTCTCTCAAAAATACAATTCAAACTTATGAATATGAGAGTATATAACTAGAAACACAAGCTCAAAGTGTGTGTATAAAAATCAGGATTTTAAGGCTCTTGAAATAGCCAAAATATTGAAAATAATTAATAAAAGAATGAACACACTTAGAATATAAAGGAAGGATGTTTCGAGCTTTGTTTCTTGTTGAAATATGAAGGATTAGGCTTGTATTTATAGTGGAAGATGTTAATTAGCCGTTGGGAGGTGATTAGGGTTGATTTAATTCAAATTTCACAATCAAGAACAGTGCTGCCAAAGGCTCCGGTAGGCAGGTGCCGTCCACACGGTATCATGGTACCGTGCGTACGGTAGGGGGTACCGTGAGAGGCGGTACCTCGGTACCGTGTAGCACAAAAATTTCCATTTGATTTTGGCGGCACCTGGTTAGGACGGGTGAGGCCATCCGTTCCGGTCTACCGTACGGTACCTGGGTACCGTCTCACGGTATACGGGTACCGTGTGGCGGTATACCCTACCGTCTGGGGGTACCGTGCCACTGTCCTAATTTTTCCAAAATTCCCGTAATCCTTCGTGTTTGAGTTTAAAACCTTTTGGATATTTGAAAATGTTTATGGGATGGTTTTAAACATATTTTGTGAGTGCATTTGAGCTTGTGAATATAGGTATATAAAATCATATTCTTACATTGTTTTTCTACCTAAATTTTACTCTAGTTTAGTGTTTTGACATCATCCTTGAGAACCGAATCTTAATGGATTCTTGTTGTACCTGAAACACTTAAACAAACGTCAAGCTCTTATATTGTTTGTTAACATCAAAACATGAGGCTTAGCAAACCAAGGCTAACAATATCAAATAAGTGTAACACCCTAATCCGTCCAGGTCTGTAGCCCCTTTCGGACTAAAGTATTAACTTGGTAACCATAAAATTTAAAACTTTTCAAACACTTTTATTTATCATAGTAATATTTTTCATATCATAAACAGTACAGAGTTTTCAATATTGCGGAAGCTAAACAAATCATAACCACAAACATAATTTATTTATATTCTTTAATTCAAAACCATCACATCCATTCCGACTATCTCGCCTCCGTCTGCCTCCAGGATCATGTCACATCATTCTATTGACCTTTGCGTAGCAAACAAAACATACTACACGCTCAGCGGTAAAGCTGAGTAAGCATATCTAATGCTTCGAACATCCATATAAATTGTATCTCAATTCATAATCAAATCATTTGATATCATGCACATAATGTTCAGTTCAGATATTCAATAATCAATTTTCAATTTTCAACATTCATTATTCAATCATTCAACATGTGTATTAATCATTCATATTCAACATTAATCATATAATATTCATCATTTGTCATTCAACAATATCCTTAAACTATTCTATCTAGTCTAAGGCCAATCTATTTGATATTTACCAACTCTTAAACTATTACTAGTTCAAGGTACTTCTAACCAACTCTTAAGCTAGGACATTAGTTTAAGGTACATATTCCGATTTATTTACCAACTCTTAAACTAGCCTTCGCTTAAGGTACAAATCCAGAAACCGAACAGTAGAATACTAACTGTTGGGTTGGGTGGTATCCCCAAACAAGTTCCTCGAGTTTGGTTTGTAGATCCCGTACATACGTTTTAACCCAGGCCACCGAATACTCATGATAATACCCCCAAGGCCTATTTCTAAGCTATCTTAGAGGTCTTCTAGATAGTTTTAGAGACCAAAGTCAACCTAGGTATATCTTAGAGTTCTTCTAGATATCCTTACAATCCAAATCATTTCATAATCATCAACATATTCATTTCAATTCATAATTTAATCCTTGACAATCATTTTAATCAGTGGTTTCCTCAAGCCATAATCATCAGAATAATCATCATCATAATCATCAATCAACATAACATTCGATAGCAAATAGCGGCCTAGCTTCGAGTGTAAAACCCGAACTTACCATCATGCATCACATAACATTTTATTTGTTAAAAACATCATTTTTATTCTGGTAAATCATTTTTATAATGATCATAATCAATTGGTATCAAAAATAGGATTTTAGAACTCAAAAATAGCATTTTCAGAAAATACCGTTTTTAGTTACAGAACTTCAACAAAACTATATAGGGATGTTCTCCAAGGTTCATAGATCATTTTGGCATCATTAATTCATAGTTTTAACATCAATTTAATGGTTTATGATTCTTGGTTCTTCAAGCATGTCAAACACAAAACTCAACCAAACGACCGTTTATGAACGTAGAAACGATCTATACGAACATTCTAGTCATTAGATATATCAACGGGCTTACCTCGAAGTGAAACGTTGATTCTGGTGGAAAAACGGTGGGACTTCCGGCGAACACCACGGCTTGCTCCGGCAATTTCACATTAAATTGACAACACCAGACCACTCTCCTCACTCTCAGGATTCTAATGGCATTTAGTTTATGCAGTTTGGTGGAGAAATGAGAATGGTTGGGTTCCATTATATAGGAGAAGAATGGGGAAGAGGCCAATGGTTCCTGCGTCACCTTCTCTGTTTGAGCGGCTAGTGGAGCAGACGGCGATTCCTTCCCATTTCAAACGCAAGTCCCTGATTGGGACTAATTTCGGTCCCAGTCAGGGAACACTTTTTTGTCCAATGTTATCCGAATTGAATTCCGTTTGCAACGTTGCGATCAGACAGTCAAGTTCTATCCAACAATATAATTTTTATATTTATTCGTTATACTTTTTCAGATATCATATTTTCGGTGGTTGACTTTGACAGAGTCAAAATTGATTTGTTTGACCTTTACTCAAAAATGTGCTCATATTAAATCCATATTATTTATTTCCATGATTTATTTCAATAAATCATTTGAAAGTTCACATTATAAACAGTTTCTTTATTTATTCTTAATTTGGGTCTGTACTCAGGTTTCCAATCAAGATCACACAAATAGTCAACTTATTGGATTTATCTCTATGAGATTTATCCTGATTGTGATATTGGATATCAAAACACATTTTATTTCGGCCCAAAGCCCAACAACAATTTATTTTAATCAAAAAAATTGGATTAATTAATTAATTTCTCATTAATAATTCTAGGGTATATTTTGGGGCGTTACATTTCTTCCCCCCTTAACACTATGTTTGGTTCAAGGATTTTGGCTGGGAAAAGAAAAGAAAATAGGAGGGAAATGATTTTTTTTATGTTTGGTTAATGAGAAAAAGAAAGGAAAAGTGAGAGGAAAAGAAAAGTGGACAGGAAATGAATTAAAAAACAGGAAAATCATTTTCCTCCCGATTTCGGACGGATATGGAGAGAATCCCGTCTCGAGTTACTGTTCATCGGCAACACTTGAAGATTCCAATTGAACTTAGTTAAGGCTCAATTCGAGGCAAACTTGTGGGGGTTTCTGAGCGACATGGGATGCTTATTCATGTTCTTAAGTTGGATTTCCATTCCAATCGAAGAACCTTTGATTTGAGCCAAAATTTGGATTCGAGTCACTGTTCACAGTGGGGATTTGCAGCCCAGGTTTAACCATGGTCCTCTCCTCCTTTTGCCTCCATTTTTTGGTATTGTGTTCGTGATTCAGGGGCCTTCCATTAACTTGTGTTGGATTCTTAATTCAATAAACTTGTTTTGGCCTCCTTGATTTTGCTCTTTGTGGCATTGTTCATTTTCTGGGTTTCCTGTGCTACTGTATCTAGGACGGTGTGTGTGTGTGTTCCATCTCAGTTTGTTAGAGGAGATGTGGTAATATGGGCAAATTTCCTTTTAACCAAACAAAAAGAGCATGATAATACATTTTCCTCATTAATTTCAATCTTAACCAAACATAACTAGAATTTTGAGTTTCCTTTCTTTTCTTTTCTTTTCCTTATCATTTTCCTTTCTTTCTCAATTCCTTGAACCAAACATAGTGTAAAGGAATTTCGTCCTCAAAATTCTTCTAAGGTCAAACGTTCAACATTCCGTAGTGATCTTACGTAATCATGACCGTGTCATGTTCATTTAGTTAAATCATATTCACGTCATCATCCACACAGATATGTATTCTTAAATTGTCGATGTTACGAAACTCGTTCTTTCTTCAAGAGATTAACAATCTTTGATTAAGCAAGACATTCAGTGATCCTTCATTGTCAACAACTAAGGTTTCTTTGCAATGTATACGGTTGTATATTTGACATACTCGCATATAACTTTGTTTATTCACAATTCCCAATTGTACAACGTTGATTAACGATATTTCTTCTTTTGATTGAAAGTCCTTTAGTAGACTTTGCAGTTTCAAATTATCAAGTTCGCGATAGATGTAGTGGGAGATTATTTTTTTTGGAGTTGTCTTCAATTCACACATCATAACGTAAATTTCACTTTGAGATATCTTCGTATCGTTCACATAGTTCAACAATGATTCACAATTACGTCAAAGGTCTTTTAGTGGTCCAATATTTTCAAGATATAGGATTTGTCATCATTTAGGAGGAAATACCGTCGATCGGTTGTACAGTAGTTCGTCATTCATCGACCTTATGTCGAAACATTTCTTCATTCATCTTCATGGTAGCTCTCATTTATCGTTTTTAATGAGTCTTCGTACTCATAAGTGATGACGTTCGTGTAGCGTTTCATGTACGATTTGTCGTATTCAAACTTCTATTAATTTGAAAACATATCTAGATATGATAGCGACAGATTTGATTGTAGCACTATGGCTTATCTCTTTCGAGGAAAAAGATAATATCTTCAGTACGTGATTCAATGCATGAATTCATAGAGTGAGGAATCTTTATCAGTTCTTATACCAACATCGCATATAAGTTCGGGATCTTCACTTGAATGATTCAGCCTGTTCTTGTGACATCATTTCTTCTCTGGTTGTCGCACAAACATTTTCTTGCTAGGATTCTAACAATATCATCGATAATAATCTTCAGAGATAGCGTAATCATATTGATCATTTTGTAGTCCACAAAGAGAGGTTTAACATAATGTTTAAGTCAGGGTAGTTTTAATTATTGTGATCGAGTCGCGTATTCTATAGGGTATAGTTTTCAAAGATCGATATCATGGTATCACTGAGTATTGTTTTGGTTTCAATGAAGAATCATGGTTTTAGTATTTTGATACAAAGAATGGAATTCAATCTCTTCGAGATTGATCAAGCGAGATATTTTCAAGGGTGTAATTAACACGATAAGTTTGAGTATTTCAAGGATATGAGTCACAAGATGTCAAGACAGCGTTTGCGAATTACTGTTACTAATCGTAGGTTTTCTTCCTTCAATGTTTCACTCTTTAGAAGTTAGTCAAGAGGTCGTTGTCTTAGGAAATAGCCATTTTGACTTTTCATCTCAGATTTGAACGTTTTCCAAGACAGCGAATCTGACTGTTCAAGGGTCTCAATACGTCATATCGTTAGCAGACTATAATGTTAGCAAGTACGTTCTCGTTTGTCACTATACTGAATACATTTTACTGTACGTATTTTGGCTAGTGACCATTACCTCTCCATAAACGGTCAGGATTCCGAGGCTATATATATCACAATTATGAAACGAATATTTCACATTCTCACATTATGGAAGGAACTTCTCGAACACTTCCTTATACCATAAGATTCGTTGGTCTACTTGGCAGTCATTCTCTTGGTAGAAATCCAAAGTTTATGGCCACTTCGGTAGATTTAGGAAGAGAGTTGATAAGACGAAAGATTAAACTTGCCTATGGAGGAGGTAGTGTTGGTCTTCAAGGAGCTGTTGCTTCAACAGTCTTTACCAACGGTGGTCTCGTTAGAGGTTTTATTCCTGGGTACATAGCAACACGAGGTGTTTATGGACCTACGTACGGTGTAGAGCATATAGTTTCCAGCAACTATTACAAGTATTTCGAGATGAATCATGCCATGGAAGCTTTCATCATTCTTCGTGGAGGAGTTGACACTATGGAAGGTTTGTTCACCTTAATCTCGTGGGCTTCTGAAGGGTTGCACAATAGACCCATTGGTCTTTTGAACTTTGACGGTTATTTCAATAACCTAATCAAGTTTTTAGATGATGCAGTGAGGCAGAGCTTCATGGCTTCCAGTCAAAGAAACCTTTTCATTTCTTCTTTCTTTGTTGGTGAGCTTTTAGACAAGCTAGAGTTTGCTAAAGCTTTCCCGGCATTTGGGGCTAATTATGACGAGTTCGCAAATCCCGGGGGATTAGATTTGGAGTTACATTTGTAATATTACTTCATGTAATCTGAGTTGTATTTGTGTTGGAATGATATTATCCTTTAATTTACGTTGTATGGACAGTACGAGCTACATTTCTTCATTCTTCAGTCTTTCACTGTTGGTGTCACTGTTTCATATCTTGTTTTGTATTGTCACCACAGTCGCGATCTTTCACGTCAAAATGATATCCGAACGAGTCAATTATCTGTTGGGAAAAATATTATTGTAATGCCCTACAAACCGGCCTAGTTTTAAATAAATAAATATTATTTATTTATTGAGACTCATTATTTTAATTGAGATTTTGATCTCTACAAATGGCTTTCAAAAGTTAATGTGTGTTAAATATAAAAAGATGTTTTAATAACGGACCTCTCAACATTAATTAACTAAATAAATTAATTAATGATTGGGGTGGACCCGGATGTTTGAAAATAAAGTTCTTAGAAAAATTATTTGAACATGTCATTAAATTCATTTTGACTGTCTGATTCCAAAAACGTAAACGGATCTCAATTCGGACCCGCTCGGGAGGGAAAGCGCGTACCGTTCAGGTCAGATTTTAACATAACGGAGTAAAGTAAATATTTGCAACTCCCCATTTGATCATTACTTCAAAAACCCACGCCACTCCCCTTTCCAAACCATTCATTTCTTCACATTCACTCCTCCATAAGTTCTACATTACTCCTCATCATTATAAGAGCTCTTCTCCCTTCATTTCCTTAGCAATTTTTGTAACCCCCACCATCAAGTCTCCATCATCACCCTCTCTCTCTTCCCAAGGCAGCAAGCAGCCCAGGGAGGTCTCCGACGAAGCTCCGGTGGGTGCACGGTTGGGGAAGAAGAAGAGGAAGAAGAGCTAGGCCGTTCGTGCGAAACGTGGTCGTCACTCCTCGTCATCTTCGTAGTTTCAGCGCACCGTATAGAGGTGAGTAGTTGTCTCCTCTAATTCTAGAACATCAAGTTATAGTCTATGTCGTTACATTCATAGGAATATCGTACGCAACCTACGTAGAACTAATGCATGTTCGTAGGTTAGCCATCAAAACATTCACCACGTAAAACTTGTATATATTGGCCTGAAAATCATTAGGATATATTCATCAATGTTTGCATTACTGGTCTAAAAAGAATCAAGGTGTTAAGTTAGCAAAACGGACCCAAACGGAGCAAAGGACAGCGGACTGTCTCTGGGACGGTCGACCGCCGCTAGGGACGGTGGACCGTTCCCATGGCCAACCCGTCGGTCACCACCATGACGGTCGACCGCCGGTCACGACGGAAGACCACGGTGGACCGTCGGCCATGCAGTTCCCCACAATGCAATCTAGGGTCGACCGCCGGTAGGGCACGGTCGACCGTTCCGCGGGCAGTTTTCCGGGCAGTTTGTAGAACAAGCCTCGTTGACCATTTTGACTCAGAATCTAATTGTGTGTTTGCATAAAATGTTAATCTTCATTATGTATGTTATTTATATGATTTATTATTGGCATCAAGCATTCATCAGGTCCAATCTGAACACATGTATTCATCACGTTCATCCTAGACGCATGTCCTAGGTTTTCATCATGTGCATACCGTTGTAGGGAGGACTTTGTGTGCCTACTACAGCGGGCCCGTCCAGGAACCTTCGGGATCCAACGGGTTTTCATCAAGTGGGCTTTGTGTACGTACATGGTAGCTAGGCTACGGCTACCACCCGGTTTTTGCTAGTTCACTTGCGACGTTTTGTCGAGCCCGGGTCATTACCGGAGTGCAGGGGTGATCCTGTCAAGTGAGACTAAGTCAGGGGTGTCCCTAATAGCATAAGTCATGCATCAAGTCATATAGTCATCATGTATGTTCCATGTCACGTCAACATTCAGTGTGGTTGTCATCATCATGTATGTTCCCCATCATGTCCATATTCAATGTGGTTATCATCATCATGTATGTTCCCCATCATGTCCATATTCAATGTGGTTGTTATTCATTTTATTATGTGTAATAATATCCCATCAAGTGCAAATTAATCAATTAGCAAACATGTAGTTTTCCGTACGTTAAAGTACGGGTATTAATATGTGTATAGCCATATGGGTTATCACTTAATGTTCTTTTGTTAGATTCACTCCTCAGCTTTTGCTGAGCGTGTAGTTGTTTTTGCTACACGCAGGTAGACAAGACGGTGCGGGTGCCAACCCTGGAGGACAGTGATGGTGGGAAGATGGGCGGCGCATGGACAAATTCAATAATTGAATACATTTAATTAATTAATCATTTGGGCATGAACCCACCATTTGTCGTTTACTCATTTATTTACTTCCGCTTTTACTCTGCATTTATATCGGTCACGTTTTTGGGAATAACTCCTAACATTTATTTCATCAAGTAAAACAAACGTTTTCATAATAAATAGTCATTAATATCCCATTAATCAAACGTAACCGTTTTCTTATTAAATAATCATTAATGTTTTCGTAACGGACGGTTCTCGGACCGCCCCATGTAACCCTACCGGTCCGTTGGGTCGCAGGTGAACCGGGTCCACGGAGGGCGGGTGTTACAATTATAGATTTTGATGATGATGTATTTAGAATGTAATAGGGACTTTAGGTCTCCCCCAATATTCAATGTAATTTTTCTTTTTAGAAATATTGTCAAAACCGAGTTCTTGAGATTTCCAATAAAATTGTGATAATTCTTTAAGCGTTTTGATGCCTGAAGACTTAATCAAATTCGTGATATGGAAATTGGATATCTTGGTCAGAAATGTCAGAGACAAGTAAGGATTTCTCAAGCAAATGAAAATCCTCTAATCCGGAAGACTACATGAGAACTGGATGTCTCGCTACAACCCGCTGTAGGCTAAGTCGGAAGACTAGCGCGGATCTCTTTCTTACCCGGAAGACTCAGAATGACCCCTCCGGATTTGTCAGCTAAGAATCGGAAGACTCATTGAAGACCGGAATTCTCAAAAAGCGGACAAGTGAGAAAAGACTTGGAAAATTATCTAAGTCTTGAATGAAGAAATTCATGGGCAACCATTCCTTTTTAGTTAGAGAACTAAAAGTTGCCGATCTAACTTCTATTAATACGACTAAGTTCTTGTTTATTGAGCTAGACAAAGTCTGGACCTCTAAAATTGAAGAGCCTGTCCAGAATTCCTAAACAAGCACTAGAAGACAAACAGAGTAAAGTGCTACAGTTCAGAATTCTTGAACAACAGCTAGAAGACGGCATCTGTGGAAATTGGAATCTCTTCTCAACAATTGGGTATGTCCAAACACCCAAGCAACGAAGAATCTTCAAATCACAATCTTCATCCAAAATTGAAGCCAGCAAATGCAATGGATAGTCTATTATGATTCAACGGATAGATTATCCAATCCAGCTATAAATAGCATCCTTGGAAGACTGGAGAAAGTATGAATGAGTAAAAATATTTGAACAAAGCAATCTCTAACAACAAAGCTATCTCATTCACAGTTAGCCCAAAAAGCTTGATAAAGAGAGAATTCTAATCTCCTTATCCAGAAGCAAACTTCTCCTCCTTCCAAAGAGCTATAGTGTAAACAGTTGAAGGTTTCCTTGCCTCAAGTACCACACCACGTTGAAGGATACAACTTTTTGATCAAACTTCTTGATTGAAAAGGGGGTAGGTCAACTTTCTTACAAGTTGGTCTTGCAAGTCCTATTGTTCGGATCTTGCAGTTGTTGAAGAAGCGTGACCTTCGAAGGAACAACAAAGCCAGCACGAGTGCAGTAGCAACATTGGTCTTGCGAAGATATACCGTGCAGAAATTCACACAAGTGTAATTGTTGGTTCTTTATTCAACAACCAACTACATAGTGGATTTTGAGGACGTAGAAGGATTGCCCCATCTTCGAACCTCGTTAAAGTTTGCGTGTCTCTCTCTTTTATCTTTACTCTCACTTGCAATTATATTAACTGTGAAAACTAACCCATCCATATTGATTACTGCTCACTCTACCCACCAAATTCCGCACACAATCTAAAGTTCACAAGAACTCTAGATTAACACTCATTTTCACGTTTTCAAAAGAAACGAAAAAGTTTTAAATTTGTAACAAAGTCTATTCACCCCCCCCTCTAGACTTTGTATCTCACCACTTTGGGACCACCAATTGGTATTAGAGCAAACTTCTCATTATCTACGTTTAGATTAAACAAGAAGCGATCATAATGGTGAACAATATGGATCACGGTTTGCCCAAGTTTTCTCTTCTAGGTTATGATGATTGGAAGATCATGATGGAAGCACATCTCTATGCTCTACATGACTGCATGTGGACGTGCTTGAGGATGGACCGTTGAAAATTCAAATGGAGAATCCTGAGAGAAATCCAGCAACTCCAGATGTAGTCTAGTACATTCCAAAACCCAAAGAAAAATGGGATGATAGAGATTGCAAAAAGCACAATCTAGACAACGTCGCCAAAGCAGCCATCTTCAAGACACTTGATCCCATCACCTTCTCTAAAATCAAGCATCTCTAGACCGCTATGGAGATATGGAAAGGTCTTGGGAAGCTATGTGAGGGATCAGAAGATCTGAGAAAGCAGAAGATAGAAGTCCTGCTTGAGAAGTTCAAAAGCTTCAAAATGCTTCCCGGAGAATCATTCGATATGTTGGATGAAAGATTCCACAAAATCTTGAATGATCTTGCATCACTTAACCACGTTCTTTCTCCCAAAGAAAAGAATGTAAGGTTACTGAGATCACTTCCAACCGAGTGGTACACCAAGGCCACAGCCATGGAAGAAGGAAGAAACCTGGAGAACTACACTGTCCAAGGTCTCCTTGATGAGCTCAGAAACTATGAGCACGAGCTGAAGAAGAAAAAGGAAGAACAAGTCACTCCCTTCCCCACGGCACTGATGACAACTCCAAGAGTCCCTCCAAGTGAAGGGACATGCCCAAGGAACTGTGACACACCCTCCTCCAGCCAGCCGTCAAGCTCAAAAATGGAGAACTATGATGAGGAATTTGCCATGATGGTCAAGCAATTCCGGAAGTTCAAGAAGTTCTTCAAAAAGACTGACTCAGTCAGAAGGCCGTCCAAGGGAAAGCAACAGGTAAGTGACTCCCCCCCTGAATCTTATCTGTGTTATAACTGCAGGAAGCCTGGCCACTGGAAGTCAGCATGCCCGTACCCAAAAGTGGAGAAGTACGGAGAAAGAGAAAGGAACGAGAAGAAAAAGAAGGCAATGGTTGCTGCTGAAAGTGACGAGTCATCCAGCTCAAGCTCAGATGAAGAAGCCCTCGTCTGCATGGAGCGCAGAGCTGAGAAGTCCAACCATGAGGATAGGTGGACTATGTCTGAAGATGACAATCTCTGCTTAATGGCCAAAGATGATGCTGAACAAGAGGTAACTTCACAAACCTCCTGCTCTTCTTCTTATGAAAGCATACCAACTTCTGAAAATCTTTTTGACCAGTTCAAAAAGATGATGGAAGATTTTGAGGAAATAAATCTCAAACATTCATCCTTAACAGAGGAGAACAAACTATTGAGTGAAGAGAATCTCAAGTTGACTGAAGGTCGGAAAAGTCAACTGGATGAGATTACTCAGCTCAAAACTGAAAATGAATCTCTCTCTGAAAAGGTGAAATCCCTCAACAAAGAGTTAGGGATACTTAAGTCCAAAGAAGCAGTGGATAAGCTTCTTGAAACGACCAACCATAAGGGTCGTAAAGGACTTGGGTTTGACCCCTCTAGTTCCAAAAGGAAAGGGAGAACAACTTTCATCCCTCCTAAACCTACTGTTAAACCAAATAAGCAGAAAGGAAAGGAAAAGGAGAAACCAACAGAAGGTCCCAAAAAGGTTGTCCCTCCTAAGAACTATAGGAAGCTGGACAGACCTCAAAAAGGAAATAATTTCAGAAGAAAACCTTTTAACCCCCACTATACACGAGGCTATACTCATTATGGGATAGATAGGAGTTTTCCAAGAAATTCTGAGTGGAGAACTATGCCAAGATATTGTCATACTCCACCCCAGAAACTATTCATGCCACCTAAGTATGCTTATAACCGACACAGGTCACACTATGCATAGCCTAGACAAAACTATAGGTCTTACCAACCTAGGTTTGCTAGGAGGAAACAAGAAATTGCACCTCCTGCAGGTAGGAAGTTTTATGCCTACAACTATGATTACAATCCTAACAAGTTCAGAGCTGCAAGGAAAATTTCCTGCAACTTCAAACTTGATGTAGGAACACACACCATTAACTACTGTGGACCCAAAATGAATTGGGTACCAAAATCTTCCTCCTCCTAATGCAGGAAGCCGCTAAGTACCCAGGTGTCTGGTACTTAGACAGCGGCTGTTCAAGACACATGACGGGTGATGCGAGTCTTTTGAGCAATCTAATTCCCTATGATGGTCCAAGAGTTACTTTTGGAGGAAGCATTGATTTTGGTCTTACTAAAGGGCTAGGAAATCTGGTGTACAAGGGACTAACCATCCAAGCTGTATCTTATGTTGAAGGTCTCAATTATAACCTTCTCAGCATAAGTCAGTTTTGTGATAAAGGTTACTCCTTGGAATTCTGCAAGGACATGGCATCTCTCAAGAACATTTCCACGAATGAAGTCATTCTCACTGGGAAGAGAATCAGAAACATATATGAAGTAATATGGGATGATGTCAAGGAAGCCGGTCTAATCAGCAAAGGTGATACTAACCTTCTATGGCTTTGGCATAAAAGGTTGAGTCATCTCAACTTCAAAACTCTCAACAAGCTGTCCAAAGAAGGGTTAGTAGAAGGTCTTCCAAAGCTGTATTCAGGAAGGAAAGCATTTGTGATGCTTGCCAGAAAGGAAAGCAAGTCAAGTCTACTTTCAAGGCAAAACCGGCACCCTCAACTACAAGGATATTAAGTCTTATCCACATGGACTTATTTGGCCCTGTTACACCAATAAGTCTAAGTGGTAAGAAATATGTCCTGGTGGTAGTTGATGATTACTCAAGATATACGTGGACAATCTTCCTCGACGGCAAAAAGGAGACTCAAGGAAAACTCACCAACTGCATGTAGCTGATTCAAAACCAAGCAAGTCAGACCATTCAGAAGATCAGATCTGACAAAGGCACAGAATTCCTGAATGAAATCATCATTCATTACTGTGAAGAAAACGGAATTCTTCATCAGACATCCGCAGCAAGGACACCCCAACAGAATGGTGTAGCTGAAAGAAGAAACAGAACCTTGAAGGAAGCAGTAAGAACTATGCTAGCAGAAGCTTCCTTGCCAAAGAGGTTCTGGGCCGAAGCTGTTAACACGGCTTGCTATACTCAAAATAGGAGTATGATTTATAAAAGGCACAACAAAACTCCCTATGAACTGTGGAACGGGAGAAAGCCTAATATATCATATTTCCATATTTTTGGGAGCAAGTGCTTTGTGTTAAACAACGGGAAGAATCATCTGAACACTTTTGATGAGAAATCAGATGAGGTCATCTTCCTAGGATATTCCATGGTGAGCAAGGCATTCAGAGTTTTCAACAAAAGGACCATGATCACTGAAGAGTCAATACATGTTATTTTTGATGAAAAACATGTGGTTGACAAGCCATCAAAGCATGATCCTGAGGTTCTGGATCTATCAAACAAGGATGAAGAAGTCAATGAAGGAGATAGAATGAAGCCTACGGAGTTCATTCCATTCAGAAGTATGCCGCTGAAGACTTCACGGAGAAATCCGGAAATCTTGGCCAGCCTTCCAATATTCCGGATCTCTCAAACGGCGACAATTCCGGAAATGGCGATCCAATGCCAATCTATCCGGAAACACCAACAACTTCTATTCTTCAACCAGAAGCTGAACTTGATCAACCAGTCAATCCCAATCAACACAATCTTCGTTGGTTAAGGGATCATCCTCCTCAACAGATCATTGGAGATATTCAATCTGGTGTTCGCACAAGGAGTGCCCAACAGAATCTAGAAGCTATGCTTGCTTGTTTCATCTCACAAGTGGAACCAAAGAACATTGAAGATGCTTTAGCTGATTCTGATTGGATCAATGCTATGAAAGAAGAACTCAACCAATTTTCCAGAAATGACGTCTGGAAACTTGTTCCTAGACCTACTCATCAACATGTCATTGGGACAAAGTGGGTCTTCCGGAACAAGATGGATGAAAACGGCGTTGTTGTCAGAAACAAAGCCCGACTAGTTGCAAAAGGATATTGTCAAGAAGAAGGTATAGATTTTGATGAAACCTTCGTTCCAGTTGCTAGACTTGAAGCTATAAGGCTGTTTCTAGCCTTTGTAGCTCATAAGGATTTCAAAGTCTATCAAATGGATGTCAAAAGCGCTTTTCTCAATGGAAACCTCGAGGAAGAAGTTTATGTGGAACAACCTCTAGGATTTGAGCTACACACTAAGGGAGATCAAGTGTATAGACTCAAAAAGGCGCTGTATGGACTCAAACAAGCACCAAGAGCTTGGTATGATACATTGTCTCAATTTCTTATAGAAAATGGATTTACCAAAGGAGTCATTGACAAGACACTGTTCAAACTACAAGATGGAGAAGATCTCCTACTAGTCCAAATCTATGTGGACAACATCATATTTGGCTCAACTAAGGAAGATCTATGCACCAAGTTCTCAACCCTCATGCAAGGAAAATTTGAGATGAGCATGATGGGGGAACTCAACTACTTCCTTGGCCTTCAAATCAAACAGAGAAGTGAAGGCATTCTCATCAACCAGGCCAAGTACACAAGGGATCTTATCAAGAAATTCAAAGTTGATCAGAAGTCATCCGTTTCTGTCCCCATGAGTACATCCACCAAGCTTGATATGGATGTAGATGGAAAGGATGTAGATCAAACTCTCTACAGAGGAATCGTTGGATCTCTACTCTACCTTACAGCAAGCCGTCCGGATATCTCATATGCAGTAGGTGTTTGTGCCAGATTCCAGTCAAAGCCAAAGGAAAGTCATCTGATAGCAGCTAAAAGAATTCTTAGATACCTCAAAGGAATTCAGAACATGGGTTTATGGTATGCTAAGAGCAATTCATTTGAGTTAGTGGGATACTCAGTTTCTGACTTTGCCGGATGCAAAGTTGACAGGAAAAGTACATCTGGTACTTGTCAATTCATTGGTGGAAATCTTGTTTCTTGGTTCAGTAAGAAACAAAACTCCATTTCTACATCAACAGCAGAAGCAGAGTACATTGCTGCTGGTAGTCGTTGTGCTCAGATTTTGTGGCTAAAGCAACAACTACTGGACTATGGAGTCAAGACAAAGGAAGTGACAATCTTTTGTGACAATCAAAGTGCTATAGCCATCTCTCAAAACCCAGTGCATCATTCTCGCACTAAGCACATTGATGTCAAACATCACTTCATCAGAGATCATGTGGAAAAGAAGGATTTCAGAATTGAGTATATCTCAACTGAAGAACAATTGGCAGATATCTTCACAAAACCACTGAGTGAAGCCAAGTTTTCCGGTTTGCTTCACAAAATTGGTCTAATTCAATTAGACTAAGTGCGGTACACGTGGCAGACCACTTTCCACGTCTGTCAAAATATTGGGTAGGCACGTGGCCTTGGGAATAGTCAAAAACTCAATCGCCACCAGCCGCATAAATCGCCCAAATTAAACTCAATCGCCACTTTTCAAATCTCTGTTCCGTCGTCTTCTTTGTGAGAAATCAAAATTCTCTCAAAAACCCTAAATTTTCTTCAGAATTCTTCAGATCTTCACTCAAATTTCTGAGAAAATGAAGATTGTTGGAGCAAATGTTCATTTCCAGAAGTTGGAAGCCAAATGCTCCTCACCGCCGTTCTATCAAAGCTATCTGGAGATGATAGCTGCTCAAGAACTCTCCGAATTTCTTCAAATGGAGATTCGCCTAAAATTTGAAGAAGAAGTTCTTGAATTCTACAGAAATGGAAAAGTCAAGTCTGCTAAATCAAAAAAGGACCCACAGAGGACGTTTCAAGTCATCAAATCCACTGTTGGAGGAACCAAAGTGAAGCTCTCGCAGAAGAAATTGGGAGAAAAGCTTCACCTTCCCAACTCTGGAGCTGAAATTGGGAAATTTCCAGTCAAAAATCTGGACTGGAGTGTTATTGGAATCTCTGGACAAGTTCCTTCTGGCCCAGCGAAGAAAGCAGATCTGAACAACGACTACAAGTTAGTTTTGGAACTCATCATCGCATGTCTCGAGTGTGGGAGTGAAGGTCATGCCGATGACATCACCCAGGAGAGAGCCTTCATCATCAACTCTCTCATTACCAAGTCAAAGGTAAACTGGGCTGCACACTTCTTCAAATCCATTTCAAGACATCTGGGAAAGCACAACCAGAATTATCTGTGTCAAGGTCTGTACATTGGACATATTTTGGAGTCTATGGGCGCTACTTCTAAAGGGAAGAAGTATGAAACCAGATACTGGCTGTACTACTTATCTTCCAAAGGAGAAAACAGAGCTAGTGCTACTGTTGAGGAGAGCTCTTCAGACAATGTCCCACTCATCCATTTGGCAAAGACTGCCAAGAGAAAGCAAGTGGTGTCTCCCTCCATCAGCATTGAAGCACCACAGAACCTTGCGTTAATCAACTTGGAAGAAGAAGAAGTCTCTGACCATAGAGAACTTCAAAGGAAGAAGAAGAGGAAGATCAACTCTCCATCAACATCTGAAAATGTCAATCTGGATGAGTTGAGGGAGAAGGAACCTGCTGAGGAAACCTATGTCCAGAACCGGAGCCCTCAACAACTTGAAGAAGAAATCCCTCAAGTCCAAAGCCTTCCAACCTCATCCTCTCAACCTCAATCAGATGATGCTGAAAACCAATTCTGGCAGCTCTACTATGATTGGAAAGCCTGGAAAGTTGGAAATTCAGCAGAGCAACTGTTGAATTGGGACCAACAACTGAAAAATGAGAAGGTTATCAAGAAGTGCTTAGGTATACCAGTCAACCACAACTGTGAACAAATTTTGGATGACTACTGGGTATGGCAAAGGAACCCTGAAGACTTGCATCTGGAACACTTGGCCACCACACCTGTTTCAGACTGTGAAGCAGATGATGAAGATACTTCAGTCTTCAAGCCAGTCTTCTCAAAAGTCACAGAAGAACAAGTGGCTCTCACTTCTGAAGAAATAGCTGTTTTGGAAGCAACAGCTGAGGATTTCCACATCTTTCCGGAAACCTCACCTGCCCTTGAAATGGTTCTGACAGAAGCTGTTCAAGAGAAGGCAGCCTCTCCCCCACAAGAACAGAACCAGGAAACAGCAGAAGAAGAAGAATTTCAGCGACAGATCCAATCTCAAGTGCTCGAGATCCTCACAACTCCTTTTGAGATCTCCAACCAGCCAGAACTTGAGATTCCGGAGAAGTCAGCAGAAATTCCGGAGAAGTCAGCTATTCCAGAGACCATGGAGCAAGCAGTGGAAGTCCAAAGGAACTCTGGAGAAGCTGAAAAGGAAACTCAGATGGCAGAAGTGGAGGTGTCTCAAACTCCAATAGCCATTTCTGAAGGACAGAACAAAGCTGAAGATAGTGACTCCCTCTCCAGATACATATCAAATTTTGCACTTGATGAAGCAGAAGGAGAATCTGAGAGGACACTAAAGATTGCCGATGAAGAAGATGTACAAGAAGATGCTGAATCTCTACCAATGCAACTCTTCCAAAGAACACCATCTTCTCATCAGGTAACCAACTTCCATTTTCATAGCTCTTCAACCCCTATCCTTCCGGATGAAATACCGGAAATCTGGACAAAGAAGGTCTAAGGGCTGATTGAATCAGCCCTAGCATCTCAACATGCCTCCTTTAGGCAAGAGATAGAGCGAATGGAAGCCAAGCACACTCAGTTGATAGAGAAATCAGAAGAAAAACACAGCGTTGATCTCAAGGAGATAAGTAAATCAGTAGAAAAGACTCTAGAGATCATCTCTCTATTGAGTAAAACTGTGAGCAATACGATGGAAATATATACCTCTGACAGTCAACTGCAATTCAAAGAATTCAACAAAGTCAAAGAGCAAATAGCAAGCGTCACAGTTGGTCTACAAAAGCAGATGTCCCTTCTCCAAATGGACATCAGATCAGCCCTAGCAATAGCTTCAGCAAATTAGGTAGTAATTAAAGACTACTTGAAGGTGATCATTGACAATCAGAAGGAAGAATACAAACTGTTCAGACTTCTTGGCGCAAATTCTGGAAAGCGCAAGATGGAAGTAATTCTCCAACAACATAATCCATCTCCAATACCCTAGCTCCCCATTGCAGTCAAAGAAGGAGAAGTATCTTACATTCCTTCTCATCTGAACATGACTAATTTGATCCTTGAAGCACAGCAAAGAAATCCGGAGAACTCAGCACAGCATCTATCCAGCTCAGGACTGGATGGAACAGAAGTTATAGGTACAATTGTTGACCACTTCTCAAATGATGCTCAATCAGAGGAAAGGCGTGAGAATTTAAGGCGCATCAAAGAACTCTGTGGAAGCATGCAGGGCATCAGTGAGGTTGCCGGATCTTCCAAGCGCAAGAGAAACTGAAGGTTCTTTTCATCAAACCAGGGGGGAAGTATGTGAAAACTCTAATTTGTTTTGATGAAAACACCTTCTTGTTTAAACATTGCTTGATTGGTTTAAACATTGTTCTTAATTGTGCTTACTATGCTTAATTATGCTTATTTCAAGTATGATTTTGAAAATTTTCTGAAGCGCATACATTCAGGGGGAATGTAACTCAGGGGGAACTTAACTAGTTTTTGGCTAACAATTGTTTTTGGCAACGAATTATTGATAAGCTCTAAGCAATGGAAGACGGATATCTCAGTTTTGGTACTAAAATTGGAATTCTCCGATTCAGGTACTTTACAAAATCTGCCTTCTTAAACTAAGCTTTAATTCTTAATTCATTTCCAACTAGCTCTAAAAGTACTCGTCCTTAGGATTTTTTTTAATGTACAGGACTTTGGAAAAATAGTACCACTTTTCCTTTAAAATTAAAATTCATAATTGTTTTGGTACTACCTCGTCCTATTTAGAAATTAGAACTATAGGGAATGAAAAATGATAGTTTTATTTTGGGCCTTGAGAACCCAATAGGAATAATTTCCCTTTAGTACATAGCTTTCTTTTCTTTTTGGGCCACTCTTTTGGGCTTAGCCAAACCAAAATAGTTGTGTTTCTCAAACCAAACGAAACTAAGTTCCTAATTGGAACAGTTTCAACTCTTTGGAAGTTAGTAAAAGATTCCTTCAACCTTTCAAAATTCAACTTCTTGGAAGTTGAAACTCTTTTACTCTCACCGTTCCAACTACCCACTTAATGGAACCCGTGAACCTCCTCCTCCCCTATTTAAATCAAGACATTCCAATCCATTTCCATCACAAACAACTCTCTCAATATGAAAGTCTTCAAGTTCACTGTCTAAGAAAAACATCAAGAAAAATTCTCTCAATGGAGAAACTTCTCTTCCTCACCCTCATAGACGGCAATGGAGAAAAGCCTAGTGAGAAGGAAAGTAATTCATTGTATATGATGTAATTCTCGGTAGTAGAGATTGTATATGATGTAATTCTCGTATTTTTCGGGATTAGATCATACACTTTCTCTGGAACAACACTCTCTCTATCTTATTTTTTTTATTTTTTCATTGATTTCTTTCTCCTCCCCTTTCCTTTCTTTACTTTTTCTAAATTTTTATTTTTGAGACTGCCTCTGCACCCTTCTCCTTCTTCAAATATCTTTTTTTTCTTTTTCCTTCATCTTTTACTTTTTTTAAAAAAAACCTTTTTATTCCCTTCGTCTTTAAATTTTCTTTTCCAAAACCTTTTCTATCTTTTTCTTTTCTTCCACCGCCGCCGCCTTTCTCTCCGCTCCTCTTTTGTTTTTTTTTCTTGTTTTTATTTTTGGAGAAATGTGTTGCTCCCTAGATCTTGTTATCCACTTTGGATAATAAAGATCTATCAAACGCAACGCCAACCATTCCGTCAAGCAGAATCTGCTGGAGCTGAAAATGGTCAATGGCGGAAGATATCACAAAATCTCAAGACAAGACTTGGTTTAGGAATTATTGTAATTTCAATTGTATTTTCTTAAGAGTTTTTGTTAACAAGCTGTATATTATGAGAAACTAAAAGAAAGTTATAAAATTAGTTCTCAGTACAACGACCGAACTCTTAAACACTTGTTTGTCATCATCAAAAAGGGGGAAATTGTTGGGAAAAATATAATAGATTTTGATGATGATGTATTTAGAATGTAATAGGGACTTTAGGTCTCCCCCAATATTCAATGTAATTTTTCTTTTTAGAAATATTGTCAAAACCGAGTTCTTGAGATTTCCAATAAAATTGTGATAATTCTTTAAGCATTTTGATGCCTGAAGACTTAATCAAATTCGTGATATGGAAATTGGATATCTTGGTCGGAAATGTCAGAGACAAGTAAGGATTTCTCAAGCAAATGAAAATCCTCTAATCCGGAAGACTACATGAGAACCGGATGTCTCGCTACAACCCGCTGTAGGCTAAGTCGAAAGACTAGCGCGGATCTCTTTCTCACCCGGAAGACTCAGAATGACCCCTCCGGATTTGTCAGCTAAGAATCGGAAGACTCATTGAAGACCGGAATTCTCAAAAAGCGGACAAGTGAGAAAAGACTTGGAAAATTATCTAAGTCTTGAATGAAGAAATTCTACCCGTTGGTAAGGAAGAATCAATCTCTTGATTTTCAACGGCTAGATTGAAGATAATTATGCTGATTCAAGAACAAATAACTCGAAGACAAAGTCTGGACCTCTAAAATTGAAGAGCCTGTCTAGAATTCCTAAACAAGCACTAGAAGACAAACAGAGTAAAGTGCTACAGTTCAGAATTCTTGAACAACAGCTAGAAGACGGATTCTGTGGAAATTGGAATCTCTTCTCAACAATTGGGTATGTCCAAACACCAGAGCAACGAAGAATCTTCAAATCACAATCTTCATCCAAAATTGAAGCCAGCAAATGCAATGGATAGTCTATTATGATTCAACGGATAGATTATCCAATCCAGCTATAAATAGCATCCTTGGAAGACTGGAGAAAGTATGAATGAGTAAAAATATTTGAACAAAGCAATCTCTAACAACAAAGCTATCTCATTCACAGTTAGCCCAAAAAGCTTGATAAAGAGAGAATTCTAAACTCCTTATTCAGAAGCAAACTTCTCCTCCTTCCAAAGAGCTATAGTGTAAACACTTGAAGGTTTCCTTGCCTCAAGTACCACACCACGTTGAAGGATACAACTTTTTGATCAAACTTCTTGATTGAAAAGGGGGTAGGTCAACTTTCTTACAAGTTGGTCTTGCAAGTCCTATTGTTCGGATCTTGCAGTTGTTGAAGAAGCGTGACCTTCGAAGGAACAACAAAGCCAGCACGAGTGGAGTAGCAACATTGGTCTTGCGAAGATATACCGTGCAGAAATTCACACAAGTGTAATTGTTGGTTCTTTATTCAACAACCAACTACATAGTGGATTTTGAGGACGTAGAAGGATTGCCCCACCTTCAAACCTCGTTAAAGTTTGCGTGTCTCTCTCTTTTATCTTTACTCTCACTTGCAATTATATCAACTGTGAAAACTAACCCATCCATATTGATTAATGCTCACTCTACCCACCAAATTCCGCACACAATCTAAAGTTCACAAGAACTCTAGATTAACACTCATTTTCACGTTTTCAAAAGAAATGAAAAAGTTTTAAATTTGTAACAAAGTCTATTCACCCCCCCCCCCCCTCTAGACTTTGTATCTCACCACTTTGGGACCACCATTATCTTATTGATTTGTCTTGTCAACACCACTTTACTTCATTTATTCAATCAGACTACATTGACGTTTCTGATGATAAGTAATTAGGTCATTAATTGCTTCATAACAAGGCATCAGTTCATTCAACAATGTTGAATTGTCTATACAAGCAGGTTATTTGTATCTGATCGAACAAGTCGTCAGTTCATAGTAAAGGATAACAGTTCTCAATCGTCAGTTTGTTCAAGTTTCTTAGCAAGGATTTGTGAGTATCGTGACCGTAAGTCAATCTTAGAGAATACAATGGATTCTGTAAGCTGATCAAATAAGTCATGATACGAGATAAAGGATAACAAATTGTTCAACTAAGAGTAGTTGATAGAGATTCTCATTGATTCGTGTATGAACAAAACAGGTATTCTCCCAAGGAGGAAACTGTTGGAACACGGGTTTACGCCTATGTCGTACTAAACTGTGTTCGTTCTTGTGACAGGTTTTGATAATGCCAAACCGCCGCGACATATCAAAGCTAAAGTGAGCAAAACCAAGGCGAAGGAACATGGCATGATGACTAGAGAACCAAGAACCCAGAATCAAGAACGAAGAACTAGTATTGTACTGAGTCGGTCTTAATGTGATAAAGACCGACACAAAATTCCAAATCTTGGCTCTCTAGGCGTAATTCATAAAAATCTCTTTTACATGTTCAAAAATACTTTTCTTAAGTTTAAACTTGGGTCAAAACACTTGGAGTTCGCCCAAGCCAAAAACCAAGCCATCCGGCGTTCGGCTTTCAGAAACCGGCGTTCGGCTTTCGGTTTTCGGCATCGTTTTTGGCGTCCGAACCAACCAAGTGGTTTTCAACTTTTTATGACTGGTTTTTACTTCTGGGCATATTTAAATAGTTCTCCAACAAAAACGCCTCAAAAACCACCTTCCGTTTTTGGTCGTTTAGTGAAAACCATGCGAAACGGCACGAACTTGGCTAGCCGTGGTTTTCAACTAAATGACGTGGTTTTTAAGATGTTTTACTTGATTTCTTAGCGAAATGCAATGAACAAATGTTTTCTAAACTTGGTTTTTACTTTGGAGAACTTGCGTTTTTGATATCGGCTAACGGCGTGACTAAACCAACCATGGGTCTGACTAACCAAGCCCAACAGCGATGTTGAGGTAATCAACAGCGCTGTCTGGCCTGGGTAGCCAAAAACATGGTTTGGCGTTAAGTCTTCCAACAGCGATGTTGGACTTTTGACATTGCTGTTGAGCCAAGGTTTGATTTCCAGAAACTTCTGGAACAGCGATGTAGGCTCCCCTACAGCGCTGTCCAACCTAAGCGAAAAACATAGTACATTGGCAGAAAGTTTTTGGACAGCGATGTTGACCCAGAAACAGCGCTGTCACGCCAAAATTCCATCTTCAAAGGCAGACCTAAACAGCGATGTTCTAGTATAGAACATCGATGTAGAGACCTGACCGTTGGAAGGAATTTAAGGCTAAAACTTTCCTTGTTTGGAAGTCAACAGCCAAAACAGCGATGTAGGGTTTCTAGACATCGCTGTTGGCATGACCGTTGCTTCCCATTTTTTCAAACCACAAGCCTAGAACAGCGATGTCCAGGCCTAGGACAGCGCTGTCTAGGTGAATTTCAGCAGATCCAATTTTAATCAAATCCCACAAATTGTGCCAATCACCCCTTAAATGTTTTGGTCCGTTGGAGCCTCTTTTTCCACTATAAAATGGGGTGTTTGGGTCTGTTTTACACAACACATTACTTCACAACTCCTACTCTTTCATTGCAAACCATTCCTTAATCATTCATAGCTTTTGAGAGCCATTTTTGTGAAGCTTGTGTTGTGTTCTTGAATGTTCTTAGTTTACTCAATATCCACTCTAAAAAGAGAGTATTGTTCTTGAGTGATTTTAGTGTTCTTAGACACTTGACAAGAGAAGGTA